GTTCCTTCACCTGTCTGCCTCTGAAATACTGATACTAACATAAACTTTCTAGACACATGAAAAATGGCAATCTGCAAACTATGCCATACAAAAGTCTACCGCTGAGTTTTATCTCCATGGAAGTGAGGACTGTGCCAAATACACAGAGAAATAGGTTCTACATAGTCAAATCCCCAGATATTATTGCAACTTTTCTCAATAGAGACAAATTTTGTCAGTCTGGATATTACCCCAGGAAAGTAGCGCCTGTCAGTATCATAAGTTACCTTGGTTCAGACCAATGAGACCACCTAGACCAACATTTTGTATTGAACAGCCCATTAGCAAACACTGAATGAAGAGCAAGAACACAGTAAGCAATTATTCCAGCTGGAGTTGGAAGATACAACCTTCTTGTCTTATTTTGAGAAAAATGAAAAAATAAAATCCAAGAAAGGCATCAAAATATGTAAATAGTACATACTTTGGTAATAGTTTGGTAATAAGAAGCCCTGCTTGGATGTCACAAATATAAGCACAGCAGGGGTGCATCAGAATAAAAGAGCATGTCTGCAGCATCAATGAAATATTAAGACACCCTAATTATAAATCAAGGAGGTTGTTAACATGTTGCCATATCAGTTCCTCTTGCCTAGGCTGAGGAGAAGTCAGAGTTGCAACAAGCTGTGAAGCATCACAGCAGTGACAGTCCCCAGATTCTGGGTATCCTTCACCTGCAGTTCTACAGCTACTACCCTGCACTACAGAACAGGTATCTCTGCTCAGTTGGGGCAAAAAGGCACAGCCCTCAGAAACTGACAAATCAAGAATAGGGTCCATTTTTTTCTTTGTAATTCTGGCAGCAAGCTGACATCTCTTTAGCATACACATACTGACACACATCCTGCTTGCATGTATCAACCTTGGGCGAAGTGGAAATGACATGCCTCTATACACCACCTTTTAAAAGCAGGAAAAAATAACATAATTCAAAGAGCAAATCATGGAATAACTATGATCTAATGCAGAAATATGTATTTTGATATTTCTTAACAATAAAAGCCTAAGTACAGACTTGCTCCCTAAATAGAGCCACAAATTAACACCTCTCAAAAACTCACTACTTTGTCTCTTACACGACTGTAGCCAACTTTAAAGCCCACCATGCTGATAACTAAAAACCTGAAAATGCAGCAACAGAAATCACTTTTTGCACTTGTATTATTTATATGAAACTTTATTATTTATGTGTCAATGATGCAGTCTAGTACGGTTCAAACATTACAGCAATGCCCTACTTATATTAAGCAACTAATTTCTAATTATTTTTTTTTAACAGGTCATTTATGAAATATGAGGTTCCTGGAAATGCAATAAGTCAACTGCACTTAAAAGATGATAAGTTCTGGGTATAATCTGTGCCATATTGTGTCCTGAATTTCCTACTTTCCATTTAATTTTTTTAAAATTGTATTTATTAATTACTTAACAACATTTGTATTAACAATGACAAAGCACCTTAAGTTCCCACTATACATAGCCTTACATTTTTTTGGCAAATTTGGCTGGAAAAAAAAATAATGTACAAAGCTGTAAATGTTTCCAGATTCAGCAGAAATTAAGCACATGGTCATGCACCATGATGAACATGAGGGCCATAGGAAGTGATGAGTTTCTTAAGTGATATAGGCAGCTTTCCATGTAGAAATTCTGTGTCAGTACAGTTTGTTCTTTCTTCTTATTATAAGAGGTAATTAACAAAGATTAGGAAAGACATCTACAACATTCAGTATCAACAGTGTAAAAGATGCACATCTGGCTTGTAATCAACGTGCTTAGTCTCTTATTGTTGTGGCAGTGAAGTTTCAAATAATATAATTAGGGTTGGAATTTATAAATATTTTTCTGAGAAATTTGTTGGAAGATGAGGATCTATCCAGCAGCAGAGTCTAGAGCTTTCCTAATATTATGGTTCTGGCTACAATCATCTGCCACTTTTGCTTGAATGGTATGAAAGAGGACAATGGAAGAAGCCTCATGAGTTCTGTGAGTACTGTATCCAGGCATCTGGAAAAGAAAAGATCTCCTTCTGGCTGATTAAGTCTGCCATAATCTGGATAGCAAAATATTTAAAAACTCAAGTATTTGTGTATTACAAATAGAGTTGTTTGGAAATTCTGTGTGCAATAATACAAGGCCTGGGTCTGTTCTGAACATGTAATTTATCGATAGAAAATAGTCAGAGTTCAAAAAGTTGCAGTGAATACCCAAATATCAGCATAAGCAGCATTCCTTTTCAATGCTACCTTTGCAGTTTTTCTCCAATATACGAGGAAAAGTAAAAAAACAAGTTAAAGAAAAAAATGTCTTATAATCCCAGATAGATCACCATCATCATCAACCTGTCATGAGCAAATTTCAATCTATCATTTAACCATGACAAATACAAGATCTAACACACTGAAGACTCAACTCATTAGATTTTGGGATATAGTTATACCTTAAGCACTGCAATATTTAATGGTTTCCTCTCCTTTTAATAATTTCGGTTAAAAAAAAAAACCAAACCATTTACAGCAATTAATTCAGTGAATCTCAGTCACAGATAAATTTTGATTCTAAATGAGACATTTCAGTTCATGCTAATGAAATTCAGGTAAACTATCCTGGCTGCAATGACTTCTGGCTGAAGAGTACACACAGCTGAATGTCTGTAAATCAGGCAGGACACAATTTCTGTATATATAATGCATATAATAACTGTTCTGCATCACCAATGTGTAAGAGTACAGACACTAAGCCAGAGACCTCAAAACAGCCTTTTGCCTTCCTGACAACTTCCTCATAAAAACAAAGCTTACTTTTCCAGCTGTATCACATTACATGATATGAGCATTTGTAAAGTAGACTAGACTGAAGCAAAAGGGATAGAGGGAAAATTATACCCCTACTGATGTAAAGTTACTTAGGCTACACAGTCACTTCAAGTCACTACAGATCTGTGCTGACACCAAAAGGTTCCATCCTCTCCCCCTTGCTTCCTACTGCCACCATAACTCAGGCAGTAGAATTTGTACATAACATGAAATGAGTAAACAATCTAGCAAATTTCTTTCCTGAAATATTGCTTTCTGAAAGATTAGGATATGTGGTTATCAGAAATATTTTATATGACAATAGACTATCATTCTACAAGAAAATCACAGACTAGGCTCATCATTTTCCATTTCATTCTATAAACAAAATGCATTCAAATTAATGTGTTGTACTTGGTAAGTGTAGTCTTAAATCTGGTTGTGCTTACTTTTATCTAAAATCCAGCACTAAAGAAGCCTCATCTGCATGACTGCCTTTAGTGTAATAACTATGGCCAGTTTAAAGATCACTGTCAGCAAAAGGGAAGTAGCAGGGAAGGCAAAAAGACATGTAGGATGGCAACAAAATGAAGCTAAATGCTAATGCTAGCATACGTATTTCTTGACACTTTTAATATAAGTTTGGGGCAAATTAGCTATAATATAGAATTTTTAAAGTGTATGAAAAAAACAGACAAATCCCACTGTAGCACCTGTTCACATTAAAACTTCACTAGGATAATGGTCAGGAGTCACTTTACTTGAGTAGCTGCTACAAAATTTTATGAGGACTTCCGCAAAAATTTATCTTTCATTTATAGCCTTCTCTTGAAAAATTGGAAACTCTGAGCAACTGATAATAAATTCCACTTAGCAAAACATGATTCTTGAAGCTAAAAATTCTCCAAAGCATTTATTTGGTTTTAGCATAAAGATCCTTAACCCACACTATAAAATGTGTTTCATACACACAGTGATTTCTTACAGTGATTACAAGCACTTTAGATAAAATCATTATTTTAAACGTGCATAGCTCATAAAAACAAGAAGTATTAATTTCTGGTAACATGACAGTATTTTTCATAATCAGTTTACAAAAAGCATTGTCCAAAACTATTCCCCTGATTCATAACACTGTTTTTCTGATTGCTGTTATGGACTATAACAATAGGCCTTCTGCTGTGCTGCAATGTGCAAACTACAAGGAAAGTAGTAAACAGTCTATTGGTATATACTTCTATTCTGCTGCTAGGTAACCTCTTTCAGCCAACAAAAATTTATTGCCACCTTAGTGGCAATAAATGATATGTAGTCATTACCACCAAAAATCTAGCTCAATATAGCCTTTTCCATTTGCTGTCCACCATCTTTTTTCTTTTTTATAATTCTGAAGAAAACACTATCTTCTAGGAAGTAACAATAGCCCCTCTATTTAAAATAAGTATTATCATTAGAACTTAAAACCATAAACACCTTAGAAATCAGCCACAGAGCAAAGCCCGTGTTTCTTCCCTAACCTTCTTGGTAATTTCCTCCACTGCATTTTACCTGGTACATTACAAATCATTGTTAGAATTACATGTATCTTACGCAGTTTGCAGAAAATGACAAAATTTATGATCATTGTCAACCCAAGCTGGCTGAAAACAAAGTTTTCTGGGTCTATTTAGCAAGGTATTTTACCTAAAGCAGCACAACAGAAATACCTCCAGAATTTCCCACACTGAGTTATAATACCTATGTCAACATTCTTATCTAAAATTCACTTAATTACATGTTACAAGTAGGAACTTTTGAGATGGTATATCCAGTAATCCAGGTACTGAGGCATACTGGATAATATTAATTCAAAACTTACCAATTTTTGACCCAAGAAAACCAAGTTATGTTCTCGAAATAGACACCACAGTTTGATGGATAGTATTTGCAATTCAAAATGGGTAAAATAAACTTCCAATATTAATACCAGTATATTTCAAAATAAAAATACCAAAAGGCTCAAAATATTTTAAAAATTGTTAGCCTGTTTTGCCTTCAAAAAATGGTAGAACCTAAACAAAAAAATTGTAATATTCAAGTTATACCAAAACCAGATTTCCTTTTTAAATCTGAAAAATAACTGAGCTGTTCAAAGCTAAATATTAATCACAAATAAAAAGCACTTACCTTCCTGTCTGTTATTTTTCCTTTTTAGCCATTTTTCCACAGTTTCTGCACTTACGCTTTCTGACACAAACTCATCCAGTACCTGGGGGTGAAGAGAGAGATATGCCTTCACTTTTTCATCTGTTAAGCCTGAAAGAGAGAACATTAATTGATTACATTAATGGTATGAACTCCCTCATATGAAGAAAATAACTGGAGACCAGCAAGAATCAACATCCCTTTGTTTAACACACTGATTGAATATATGACTATTTAAATAGAACAGAGAGAGCAATATCCTGTTAAAAAAATATGCTTTTTTTTTAACAGGATATTGTGTAGAAAATAGTAGAAGCAAAGTGTAACCACACAAAATACTGTGTACAAAAAGTCCCTTGAAGGCATACACATAAACATTACCCAGGAGAAATAGCCAGGTAGGAATTCATGACTATGATTGTGACTATGAAATTATTTCTAAGCTATGCAGGATGATATATTGATAAAGAAACTGTTTAGAAGGAGATAGAAGAAGGTGAACTGGGATGTCTCACAGAGCACCAAATTCAGTGTTCTTACTGCAAATGGCAGCAAAATCAACACAAACTGTTATGGAACACCAAAATCATATGCAATTTTCAAATGCTAGAATTACTTAAGTTACTTTAGATGTATAAACTGTTTTCACAGGCATGCTTCCATTGCTTTAATAACTTAGTTATCGAAATGAAAATAATTGCAGATAAAAGGTATTTACAGTATCTGCAACAGAAAGAATACTCCAGTAAACAATTTTAAAAAAGAAGAAATATTCAGAATCTCAGATGCCTGACAATCATAAATCAATTTTCAAATTCACAAAATTATAATCTGATTATACACTTTGCAAATCCCCCAAAAATGACTGACCACAGGCAGGGTGAACCCAGCAGTGCTGAGGCTGTCCAAAGGGGGAAGCAATAAAAAGAGCCTGGCCTGAGGGACTTGGCTCCAGGCTACCATAGAGGGAATAGGCACCCCAGTGCAAAAGCCTTAATGCGATATGAGGGGAAGAAGAGTGGCAACCACTGTAATGACTCTAAATATGCCATCTTCTCTTGTATTTTGCGTATTTAAATATAAGAGTAAATTCAACACAGAAAGCAGCCAGGTTTCAGCAGAAAATGAACTCCCCTCTGAACAACACTGACCTCTTTCAGAGAGTATTCATGGTACAAAATGAGATCGATTCTCCTATTTTGTGCTTTGCACAGTATCAGAACGTGATGAACAGAGGTGCAGTGCAATTTGAATGCTAGTCAATTATGGTAATATTTAAGATCTCTTACAGATGTTTACTGTGAAAATCTTCAGGAAGCAATACCAGAAGACAAACCAACAGCTCTCTGCAGAGCACCAACTACCTACACCACTTTCCTCACACCAACTGCACTATATCACTCACCCACATCAGCCCCCAACAGCTCAAAACTGGTTTAAACTACCCTTCCTTTTAATCCAGTGGCGGCAGCCCCTGCTGGATATCATAACCTCAAAGAACAACATTGCTACTTAAGACAATTCCCGATATATGAATCACTTGAATAAGAGCTTATTGAGCATCCTGACTTTCGTTAGTGAAGAAGAAAAGGCATATCATGAATCAGTAAGACAAGTACATAATCAGCAAGTGGGGTGAAAACAAGTAACCCTACTACATTGATTGTTTAACCTTAGGTGGAAGCTTGTAGAGTTACTAGATCATAATGTAGCTATAAAGAAGTACAAGAGTGAAATGAACAAGATAATCTTAAAGCCAGTTCAGGGATTGCCTCATGTTCTAAAAAAATCAAACTCATTAATATAATTCTGTAATTTGTTCAAATGAGAAAAATGTAGACCCTTGAAAAAGTATTTCTAATTTCACAGTGAGAAAATTTGAAAACTATACATATTTTAAGAATCATTCAAAAGAGTACCACATTTTAAAGATTTAGCCATCAAAATGTCATCAAAATTCATCTGCCCTTTAAGTTCTACATGAAAAATGGTCAAAACAGACTTGTCATAAAATGTCTGCCAATTTCAAGTTGTCTTTAGACTGCAAAGAAGTACTTTTTTGCTTCTAGTAAAAAACTATGACCTGAAAAGGTTGCAAAATTAGCAAATGGAATTCTGAAAGGATTGATTTGTTTCTTCAGTGAAATTAACCCTTCTTTCTTCATCCAACCCTTTATATGTTGTGGATTTTGTAAATCAGAATTCCATAAAATGTCAATTTGAAATAAAACTTCAGTCTACAGGTCTCAAATTTAATATCCAGATATTATGCAACTTCAGCAACCTAAAGCTAAGAACTCTGCTTTAACCTTATACAGAAAAGTAGCTCATGAAGGTGATATAAGAACTCCTAAACAGTCTTTAAATTACCCGTCTTTATTTCACTAAAGGTATCTGCGCAGATGTTTTTTCTCAATGTGGGATTTGTAGATGGGAGCAAGAAGAACAAGATTTACAACTATGTTTGCAGAGTTAAAAAGGAATGACTTAAACCTATTTTCTACATAGATTAAGGCCAACTTATTGGTCAGCTCCCAATTGTTAGCCTGCTATAACAAAAAACACACCCTGCCAACATACACACAAACTCCACAACCAGAACTAACAATAACACATTGTGACTTCACAAAATGTAGAAATGCAAGCCTTTTCAAAGAAATTTTAATGGTTTAATGTTTTATGTGCATTAAGGCTAAAAAGTGTAGTAAAAATGCCTGAATGTAAGAGCATTTTACAGCTATGCAGAAGCAATTATTTTATGGCATATGGAAAGCCTTCTTGATTGTAAGATGCACATATAATAAAGTTATTGCATAACAACATGCACACGCTTGCCCTCTTGAACATTCACATGCTCCTGAAAACTTCTAGTACATCTAGTACATGTATTTTTGTTAAATATGATTGACCTCTCTATTTGACCTCTCTATTGAAGCATTGTAATCCCTTAATTCTGAAAAATGCAAAAAACCCTATTTGAATATTTAGAGGCAATGATTACTAACATTTAAATAAACAGGACAATAACATACCCACACTCAGGAAAGTGAAGTTTATCATGCCAATCAGGTGCTATTTACAGAATTACCAACAAACATAACACAAGCCAATGCTGGTTATTAATTTTTCTGTTACTTATGTATCGGTCCTAAATATTTGGGACAGCAAACTTTTCTATATTCGTTCACACTAGAAATATTTCTCCTCTACTACTTCTCCCCTCACTACTACTTCCCATAACTTCCAGTAATGCAAGGACTTCTCTCATTCTTGTTCAGCATTTCTTGTGTGGAGCTTCAAGTGTATACATCAACAGTGCCTAGCAAAGGAAAAGGCAGCAGTGCACACATTCTTAACTGTGTTGGTTTATACACTTCCTCCCAAGCAGCCCAGACAAAAGCTCCCGTCACTTCATTTCATGCAACCCTAGAAAGCATCACCTCTTGTATCCAGAACCAATCTGTCCTCTGACAGAGCTGTGACAGTTACCAAAAAGGACCATCACTCAGGAGGGCTGAACACTGGCCACTCATCAGGCCAGAAAGCATCGAAAGACTGGAATAATTGCTCTGGCAATTAAAGGAGGAATCTGGTATTTGATTTGGATGTCCATTCATTCCATTTATGCAGTGGAGTTCACCCTCCATACATATACCCTGTTTAATTAAAAACACACCAAATCAGCTTTCTCTCTTGTATTCTTATTTTAAAATTATCAACTCACATTTCAATGCTCTATCTGACACAACTTGCTGCTGTCGTGTTTTATGCACATATTAACTATTTGTTGTGAATTTGTGATTAAGAAATGAAGGACACATACATCTCAGATAAGCTCCTTCCTCTTTTCATTCTCCTGTGAACAAACCACAGGCAAAGAAACAGCTCCAGCTGCCCACCACTTGGGGTAGCCCAGCACTCACTTCCTGACCAGCACACTCAGCTACGTTCTATAGATCTCAATTTAAAATGTTCTCTTTGGCCATACCATCTGTTTTTGTGGTTTATAACTCCTTCATCCTTACTGTTAAGCTTTCTAGATCTCCAACAATGAAGCTGAAGGAAAATTGCATCAGCTGAGGTTGATTGCCTGCTGGGAATCATCCCTGACCTGACCCTACTCCAGGGCAACATTTGACAGCTGCCCAGGACATCACTAGCTGACTTGGAAAATGCAATGCCAAGAACCACTCCAGACAGAAATCCAAGTCTAGTACATAAGAATGCTCCTTCACACTGTTTACTAACTCAGATATAACAGAACTGGGTTTAAAACTAAAACAAAACCCAAAAATCTTCAAACATCAATTATCAGTAATTATTCTGTGCCTTTGAGACAGTCTTCAACAGCCTGCCTTTAGAGAAAAAAAAATTAATAAAGTAAAAAACACTAGACAGTCATATTTTCCTTTCAGCTTTTTATGCTGCCTAAAATATTTTTAAAATTTCTTAGATATTAGATAACCTGTGTAGTACTAAATTGATTAATGGGCTCTGCTCTCTGACTCCAAATCCATGTCACACTACACTCTCCTCTGAGAATAGCTTCACTGAGCTCAGCAAAAAGCAGAACTGACTGTGAATGAGCTGAAAAAATTGAAGCCTAGAGCTATGTTTAAAAATCTCCATTTAGCAACATGAGTCACACATGTCATTAGCAATTCATGCAATTTTTTCATTAGTGTTGTGATATTTGGTCTTTTTTTCTAAAACCACTAACTTAATCAAATCTCATGATTAGGCAAGAATTTTAATTTTCACATAAAGTGTCTGGTTCCCAGTCTGGGGGGCACACAGGGAGTCAGAAAAGAAGGGGTAAAAACTGATGAGCCAACCTAATTCTTATCAAGGGTCAGCATTTTATCCTTGAGCAGCTAAACTCTGAAAGATTCCAGTCATTGCTTCCCTCCAAACCTTTTTTCCCATTTAGACAGGACCCAATTACTTGAAAACACATTGTGAGCATGTACACTGGTCATTGTAAGAAGTCAGGTGGATTCCGCATATCAAGAAGGCTTTTACTAATAAACACAAAAGAAAATAAGTATAAATGCTGTCAATGTTGCATCTGTTAACAGCAACAACAAACTAATTCAGACAAAAAAAAATAC